CTGAGAACTGGGATTGCAGGAAGCAGTCGTAGACTCTGGATCAAAGAAATTTATGCCATAACCAATTTGTTAGTTTTTAAGATGCCACCACCAGACTCTTTTATTATTTGAAATCTTCTATGGAAAAGAAGTATTACATCTAGAGATGCCATCATGATCGAAAACAAAATCCATCTTCCTTCTCTGAACTATATATACCTTTCCGATGTGAATGAGCCCCGTGTTTTGTTCCCCCCGCCCCCAAATACTGTGAGAGTCAATTACAGATCCCCCCCCTTGTAGCTGTCTTTTATGGCCACTGTTGGGGTAGCTAGGCAGCCACAACAGTATTGTCAGCCTTCAAACCTTGGTTCCTGTCAGTAAAAGGCAGGGGAAGGGACAGGGCTGCTTAGCAACCCCTGCAATGATCAGTAAAGATGTACATTTCTTAAAGCTATAAGGGCTGCTTCTGGGAGGGGGGTTCCTAAACCCTTCCCTAAGGTTTGGTTGTTTCTTTTTAAGATTTCAATTTTTTCTGCAAACCTGGGGCTTTTCCAGGTTGGTAGAAAGGTTGGCATTGTTTGTTATTGGTTCCCATTTCTGTATTTAACTATCCACAGATTTGGCCATGTTGAGAATTAGATATATTGATTTAAAGCACCAAAAGTGTCTTGCAGCACTTTAAAGACTAACAAATGGATCTATTGAAGTGGTCTCTCAATCAGGAAAAGTTATGCCATAATAAACTTGGCAGGACTCTTATTTTTGCTGCAGTACACATCTACCCCACTGGAAAAATTATTTAAAACTGCTACGTTCCAGTGGATGGTTGGAAGGGCTAGATTGTACTCTGTACAGCAGGGGTCTCCAACATGGTGCCCATAGGCACCAAGGCACCCACCAAATATTTTAGAAAGTGGGTGGGGTCAAGGGGGGGCATTTCCCAGCAAGGTTTCTGTCTGGCCATTGGAGATTTGATTGACTGAGTATATATTTAAAAACATTACTTCTGCAGGAGCTGCCACTACAGCACAAGGATCTTCACGGTGTGAATGGAGGTAACCTGTGGCAGCCACTTTGTAGCTGGCTCGGCCTCCTGCTGCAGCCATTTTGTGATTGAGCCCACTGGTCTGTGTCAAAATTGCAAAGGTGCTTGCCAGCTTAAAAAGGTTGAGGACCCCTGCTGTAGACACTTGAACGTAACAAGGTACCAGTCCTACTCTCCTAGTTTCACCAGGGGAGAATATTTAGTTGGATACAGTCCTTTGTTCCTTTGTTAAGGCATACTTGCACTTGTTGCCAGTTTTCCTTTAAATTGCTGAGTCATCAAAGAAAGCAAAGGACAAGACTGGGTATTAATCAGCATGGACAGTGAACACAGTGTGAGTTGTGCGTTGTGTGACTTTGTTCTAAAGCACAGTTATAGCTCAAGAAGATGTATAGGATACTGAGCATTGTTAAGAGGAAGTGGAAATTCCAAAATCAAACAAATTTAGAAATCCCAGTATACATTATTTCTTTGTTGCTCCTGGAGAATAGCACATTCTTGTTATAATGCAGTTTTGTTATATCATACATTGTGTGTGTGTGTGTGTGTATAATATTTATAGACAAGGTAAGGCTGCACTACAGAAAGGACGCTATCTCTTCTTGACTAACTTGGAGGTATATACACTAGCCCACAAAATTACTACTAGACATATATATATATATGTGTGTGTGTGTGTGTATAGATAGATAGATAGATATGTGTGTGTGTGTGTGTGTGTGTAGATATATGTATATGTATATATAAATAAAGAGGCTCTATGGCTTGAGTAAAGCCACTGGTCCCCACAGGTTTGTTTATGGAAGCCTATTCAGTTTAATTACATGGCTGTTTCATTTTGTTCATAACATTCAGGAATACCCTTGGGATACTTATTCCCAAAGGTTTTTAATCATTACCGTAATGAGACTTCTGAACTGGATTGTTCAAATCTCTCCTCCAAGCACAATTAAGGTATAAAGCAGTCTGTTTGACTGAAAGAACTGAGTCTTATTCTATTTATTTAAAACATTTTTATGTTGCCTTTCCATCCACCTTAGGGACCCCAGAGGTGGTGAACAAAAACATCAAAATCAGCTTTAAAATAAATACATATATATAACAATTAAAACAATTAAACAAAAATGCATGAACAGCAAGGGGGCAAGGCAGTGAGGCAACACCAAACAAGACAGAAAAGACTTCATCCCCTGGTGAAAGACAGTGGTGGAGCTGGACAGACGTATCTCCTGGAGAGCAAATTCCATAGTTGTGGTGCTAAGACCACGAAAGCGCTTTCTTGGGTTTCCAGGCCACAAGCATTTGGGTATCATTTAGGGGGTAGGATTGGCGTGCCAACATCACATTCACTTCCAATGAAATCTGCAAGTGACATCATAAAACACTCAAGGATTTGTAAAACTCTTATGATAAAACCATAGTTTTTGCTAATCCTACAGAGCCCCACAACATCAATTCAAGTATTTACAAGAAGTGACATCAGCACAAGCGTGATGTCAATGTGCTCCCATTTTCTCCTCCGTTTCCTGCCACTGGCACTTCAGGTGCTAGTGGGCAACAAAACAGTTGCCTATCAGTCTCACTTCGATGATGGGGTCATCCAAAGCAGGCCTCTTGGAGATGACCAGTGGTCCACATGAGAGGAGGTTATCCTTAACATATGCTGGTCCCAAGCTGAATAGTGTTTTATAGGTTTAATTGAACCTGGAAACACAACTGGGAAACAGTGTTGGTGGAACAAGACTGGAATGATAGAATCCCTACAACTCACTCCAATCAGCAGCACTTGGGCTGCAGCATTCTATACCAATTGTAGCTTCTGGACATAAGAACATAAGAAGACCCCTGCTGGATCAGGCCAATGGTCCATCTAGTCCAGGATTCTCTCACACAGTGGCCAACCAGTTCTTCTGGAGGGCCAACAACAGGGCCTAGAGCTGATACCTTCCCGATTGTTGCCTCCTGACTCTGGGAGCCCTCAGTCACCATGGCTAGTAACTGCTGATAGACTTACCCTCCATGAATCTATATAATCCCATTAAAGCTATTTATTCCTGTGGCCATCATAACATCCTCTGGCAGAGAATTCCACTTTTTAATCGCTCTCTGTGTAAAGTAGCATTTCCTTTTGTCCATCCTGAATCTACTGCCCATCAGCTTCATTGGATGCTTTTGAGTTCTAGTATTTTGGGAGAGAGAAAATTTTCCCTTTGTCAACTCTCTCCATCCCATGCATAATTTTATAAAACACTATTATGACTCCCCCTTAGTCATCTCTTTTCTAAACTGAAAAATCCCAGACACTTCAGCCTTTCCTCATAGGGAAGGTGCTCCAACCCCTAATTATCTTGGTTGCCTTCCTTGGTACTTTTTCCACCTCTGCAATATCCTTTTGGAGACATGGTGACCAGAACTGTACACATCCCAGTTCCAGAACACTCCTGCTCCACCCTGGGGCTGTCATTCCACTCCGTGGCCTGTCATCCCAGTTCCTGAACACTCCTGCTCCACCCTGGGGCTGTCATTCCACTCTTGGCCCTGTCGTCCCAGTGACTGAAAACTCCTGCTGCACCCTTGGGCTGCCATTCCACTCTTGGAACCCTGGGGCCGTCATTCCACTCCTTGGCCTGTAATCCCAGTGCCTGAACACTCCTGCTCCACCCTGGGGCTGTCATTCCACTCCGTGGCCTGTCATCCCAGTCCCTGATCACTCATGCTGCACCCTGGGGCCGTCATTCCACTTCCTGACCTGTCATCCCAGTCCCTGATCACTCCTGGTACACCCTGGGGCCGTCTTTCCACTCCGTGGCCTGTCATCCCAGTTCCAGAACACTCCTGATACACCCTGGTGCTGTCATTCCACTCTGTGGCCTGTCAACCGAGTGCCTGAACACTCCTGCTCCACCCTGGGGCCGTCATTCCACTCCTTGGCCTGTAATCCCAGTGCCTGAACACTCCTGCTCCACCCTGGGGCTGTCATTCCACTCTGTGGCCTGTCATCCCAGTTCCTGAACACTTCTGTTACTCCCAGGGGCTGTCATTCCACTCCGTGGTCTCTTATTCCATTCTCAGAGTAGTGTATTTGGGCCCAGAGACCCTAATGGAAAATCTATTCCGCATTTTTATTGCAACTCTACTTGTACCCTAATGTTTTCCAATGGAGCCCATGCAACTCAATTGGCATTCCTCTGGCTCCCATTATTTCCAATGGGCCTTCCAGCATCTCCCATTGTTTCCAATGGGCAATCCTGTCCTTCCTTTTAGTACATCCCGCTGAAACGTCCCCCTTTCTGAAGGCTGCCATTTCCCCCCTCTCTGAAAGGTCAGGTTTCCCTGAAGAAACCACGGCAGAGGAGCTAGAAATCAAGCATAAAAGCTGACCCGAGCTAAGCCTCTCTGATGGAGCCCGCAATAGTTCCCCCCCCCCTCAGACAGAAGACTTTGAAGAGGGGAACGACTGAAGACAGCCTGAAGCCGCCTGAGGGGATGAAACTCATCGGGTGGTCCCACCACAGAACCCCGCAACAGTTTCCCCTCAGACACAAGACTTCGGGGGGGGGGGCGGCAGAGACCGCTGGAAGACTCCCAAATTCGCCAGCCTGAAGCCGCCTCAGGGGGCGAAACTCATGGGGCGCGGCACCACCCTAGAACACCCTCCCCGTCCCCGTCTCCCGCTACATGAGAAGAAGCGGCCGCCAACTGCGCGGGAGGGGACGAGGAAGGGTGGGAGGGGAGGAAGAGGAACGTTAGTCTCACGTGACGCGGCGTGTCCAATGGAGAGGAGGCTTTCGGGGGGGGGGGGGGGGAAAGTTCCTTTGTGACTGAGAGAGAGAGAGAGAGAGAGAGAGAGAGGGCGCTGCTGACTGAGGCCGCCTCCTCCCTTTCCTCGTCTTGAGAGCCTGAAGAAGGGGGGAGGCCGAGAGAGAGGGAGGAAGGAAGGGAGGAAAGAGCCCTGCGCGGGGTCTGAGGGAGGGAGCCAGCCAGTGAGCGCGGGAGCCAGGCAGGCAGGGCCGGCTGGCTGGCCGGCCGGTGGAGTAGGGAAGAAGCGGAAGGCAAAGAGGCAGCAGCAGCTGCTGCAGCAGCGACGGGGGCGCCTCAGTCCCTGCCATCGCCACCACCACCATCACCCCCCGGGAGAGGCTGCGACTCTCCGGCCTGGCGGGCCCCCAGCCACCCAACCTCTCGGCCATGCCGAATAAAAAGAAGGAGAAAGTGAACCAGGTCAGGCCGGAGGCGGAGGCTGAGGGGGTGGGGAGCAGGCCCTGAAGTGGGAGGACGGGGCGGGGGGGTGGGTTGTTGGGGGACTCTGGAGAAGGCGGCGGCTGGAGCCTGCGGGGCTGCCCTGTGTGGCTTTTGACTTAACACGCGTGCATGCACACACTTTCTTCTACGTGGACGTGCATGCATACCTTATGCATGTGTGTGCAATGATGCATACGCTGTTGTATATTGGGGTAACTGTGCACAAATTTTGAATGCCTATATACAATGTGTGAAAGCATACAACGCAGTATGTTTGTGTGTATGTGTATGTACACATACATATGTGTGTGTTACCTAGCTACACTGGCTATTTGTCGTAAATTTGGTGTGTATGTTACAAAGAGTCACATACAGTTGGTCATATCTATAAGTTAGTTCTGATGTGTTATATCGACGCATGTACTGCTTTGTCATGTGTACTCTGTGTATGTGCCAAGTCCGCCTTGAGCTTCCTGGGAAGGAATTAAAAAAATAGAACACAATACACTGACCATGTTACTCTCAAGAGTGACTCCTCCCACACCATAGTATCTATGGTACACACTGGCTGAAGGCAGCTTGTTATCATTTAACAATCCCGATGGGGTAAGCAAGAGCCATAAGATTGTACTTTGAAGTTGTTTCTGAAGGTGGTGATTGTACTTTGAGGTTGTTTCTGGAAGTGTTGGATGATCTCCGGTAAAGAATGGTTGTTTCATGTCATGGTGGTGTTAGCATACATGTGCCACGTTAGGAAAAGGAGCCACTGGCTACAGCCGATGGCCATTATAACTAAGGCCAAAATGAAAAGGAACATCTCAATCGGATTGACATTGAGGGGGTCAGTTTTTCTTGAAACTCATTTCCAGTTCCTTTTCTAGATCCATCATTTGTAAAATGCTTCAATGTGCTCTTAAAACAGTTGCTAAGGTTTAACATGCTATTTTCCAACTGCATTGAAATAATATTTCAATCATCTTTGCTCTCATTACTTATAAGTAAGTATTTATGCCAAGCAGGCATGATTCTAAGGCAGAAATCCTGTGGTCACATACATGGAATAGGAAGACCTGGGTTTGGATGTGCCTCTGAATCTCACTGCATGATTTTAGGAAAAGCATATGCGCTGATCCCGACATATCTCACAAGTTAAAATGGAGAAAGGGTGAACCAAAAAGTGCTGTCCCGACATATCTCACAAGTTAAAATGGAGAAAGGGTGAGCCAAAAAGTGCTGTCAACTAGTAATGTGTAGGGCTGTGTGCCTGTTTAGGATTGCATACCATGTCTTCTGAAGGATAGACTGACTGACGCAGTAGCCTGGTCTCTTCTTGGCATTTTGAGAAGTCCATGTGAACTTTAGCATTGGACATACAGGCCCCTCTTCCACTTAACAGCTTCCAGTAGTATTGAATTCAAAGCTGAACTGTACAGCATCTCCACATCTGTTCAAAATTTATGTGCTTATTGCACTGTATGTCATTCTTCTGCTGCTAATATGTTCATGCCCAAATAGTCCAGAAGGGAACTGTAGCAAGCCAAAGAAATCAGAAGTGTTCTGGGAATATCTCATTTTGTAAGATAAGGAATGCAGGCTGTGTGTAGGCTACATGCAGGCCACTAGCCTTAGTCCTAGACTGAGGACTCTATTCTAAAATGCTTACATAGAGCCATGTTTTAATTCTGGTCCATCCTTTGCCTCTGCTTGTAAGTCTTATAGTAGCAGGTCATGGGTTGTGCCTTAAGCTCTACACTGCATGTGCAGTTTTCAGTATGAGCTTAGTAGGACTTGCATACTGAGAGGTATATCTCAGAATTATGGTAGGTTCTTCTTGGGGATTGTGCCTCACATTGCCAATGGGATGCCCCCCCCCCCCAGCCTCTGGATAGGGCATCTGGGACTTTCCCCTTTAAGCTGGAAAATAACTAAAACTTCCTTTGCTCCAACATAAAGAGGAAATGGTAGGGTGACTTTCTGCAGCCAAATCAGGGAGAGGAGGACAGAGGCTAAGTACTGCCTTCAAAGTATCAGAGTTAAGTTTCATTTTTCTTCTCCCTTCTCCCAGCCCTTTAATGGGAATTTTTTTGTTTTTAGTTCAAAGCTGAGCCTCTGTGTCCCTTTAACCGTAACTCAGCTGTGGAAGTGAAGGGGGGGGGTCGTCATCACATTGGCACTTCTGCAGCGATATGATGAATCACATGGGGAGGGTCCATGAGGAATGTTGTCCTTGCCCACCGCCACCCTGCTCCCTGCCACTTACACAGTACAGGCGCTGTTTTGTGCCTTTGTATGGAATGTGCCTATATTGGAAATGATGGCCACCTATTGGGGTTCAGGAATACCTGACATCACTAATCCACTTACAGTCTGCCTAGGGGAAAAAATTCCCAAACTGTAATGTCTCATTTCTCATTCATAAACTATTCCTACATTTTATTTGCTTACTTCATTTATAGTCTACCTTTCTTGCTCAAATGCAAGGTGGGTTACAAAATTATTTGCCCTTACACTGGCTGTATTACATCATAGGTTTGCTTTTTTTGTTGTTCTTTTCATATTTTAAACCTGTTGCAGGTTTCCTTTGACTTACAGAGTTTTCTAGCTACTCTATCTGCTGAGACTGGATAAGGCCTAATATAACAGCATCTTGGGTTATAATTTGGTATACTTAAAACATGGGGTTCTGTTACTAGAATTGTACTTTGTTTCTATTCCTACTTGAATTATAGGAAACTTACATGTGATTGTACATTTCAGGAACCTCCAAAAGCAGGCAAAAGTGGGAAGAGTAGCAAAGATGTGCAAGATAACCTGGACATTGAAGTAAGTGTTGCTTATAAATCTTGTTTTTCTTCAGAAATTATTATGCTTATATGCTATAGCATTTGAAAGGGTTTTTTGTGCCAACATATGCTTCTGTGGCTTTTTAACCTTTTAAAAAAACTTTTACTTTTAAAAAATCACTAGCAACTTGACGGTTACAAAATACAGTAATCATATGCAGAGTTAATCCACTCTTAAGACCACTGACATTAATAGATTTGGACTAGAATAACTCTGTGTAGGATTTCACTGCTAATGTCCTTAGTTTGTAAGATGTGGTAATGTCAGGTACTCAAAGTAAATCCTCAGTAGTTACAAGGATAATTGAGGAAATGTGTTTGGAGCACTTAAAATACTTCCCTTCATTTGGAAATGGTTTCTTTCCTTTGGCAGTTTACATTCTCTTTAAATTTTGATTTTTACTTTGCATTGAGGAATATCTCATACTTTAAATTCTACTGAGTACTTCTAGTTCGTTGATTTGATTTTGACATTTTGACTGTATACTTTTTTTGTACTTAATGGGCAATAACTTCTTAACCTTCAGTGTAATTAACTGAGCTAACTTGAGCAAAGTTTGAGTCCAATGGCACCTTTTAAGACCAACAAAATTTTATTCTGGGTATAAGCTTTCGTGTGCCCTGGACTCAAAAGTTGTTCTGTTGCTTCAGACCGACATGGCTACCCATCTGAATCTGAGCTAATTTGAGTAATACTTAACAGGAATTACTGCTATAGGCATAACTCTTCCTGATAGATCTTGCTTTCATTTTATGTACAAGCATGCCATCTTGAGTGTGCGTTTTAAGTTCCATAGGGCAGTTGCTACAACTCCTTCCTCTGAAGCGAGACTCCTCGTGTAGTGGAAGGGAATTTGTAGGATCTAGTAAAATGAATAGCCATGGGTTGTTAAAGAAAATAGTTACCTTTGTCAGCCATGTTCTAAAATTCTAAGTGTTAAAGGTATTTTTTTCTATGTAGCATACAAGTCAGCTGAATATTATTACTACATGAGCATTAATGTAAAAGTGTGATTTGTTTCATTTTTACATTGCAAAATGGAGACTGTACTATCTGATTTTAAAGTGTTCTCTATTAAGCATATAAATTTCAGTGGCTTGGATCCTATAGGATTACAAATAGAACAGATTCATAGAAAGGAAAGGAGAGGTGACAAAAGTCCTGTGACAGCTGCTTGGACAACCACTTGTAAACTCTGGAGCCAGAGGCAATTGGCAGAAATTTCTTCCTGCCCCCTTCCACCCCATTGAAGCCACACCCACACCCAAGTTCTGAGGTTTAATCCCCACCATCTCTAATTAAAAAGGATCTTTAGTACCAGGCACTGGGAAAGACCTTTCTCAGCCTGAGCCATTGGAGATTGCTGTTGGTTGGGGTAGAAATCTCTGATCTAGATGGACCAGTCATCTGACTCAATATAATGCAACTTCATGTGTTCTATAGAATGCAGCTTGTCCATTAATGTGTTGATATTACGATGGTGGTTTGATGTAATTATATGTCTGCTGTGCAGTTTCTTGTTTGCTAGTGGCTTGGCTTAAGTGTGGTCTGTTGCTACTAGGTTATAAGCACCCTTTCTACCTAGAGTCTTCCAAATCTTATGTTAATCAAATTTGGAACAGTTCACTGGGGTGGCACAAATGCTGTCCCAATGAGCTATGCTTAGAATGCACAGCTACTTCAACCAACTCCGTGCACATGTGGGTACACGGTTGCTTCTCTTTACTATGTATATTAGAGGCCCCTTTAACTGTAAATTCTATTTTTGTCACCATTTCATAGAAACGGAAAAGTTACTTTGGGTATCATAGAAACTAATGACTCACAGCTTCTGAGACTGAAATATACTTCCCTGTGTACAATATTTATTGTGAAATAAGTGCTCTGTAGCTGCCTATGCAGTGTTTACCTTCAAGAAAACTCCAAAAAGAGCAGCACAGCTTGTTCATTATACTTGCCCCTGACTACAAAGAGGAGGAGCAATGGAAACAAAAAATCTCTCTTGTTTCTGAGGAAGGATAGGATGAGAGAGACTGGAACATTGACAGAATTATGACAGAATTATGGGCTGAACATATGCTGTGGTTAGCATCTATAACAGATATTATTTAATTGCAAAAATCACAGGAATCTGAACATGCAGCTGTTTCAGCACATAATTTATTATGGTAATGTGAGAAATGGGTGCAGGTACAGATTTAATATTCAGTGAAATATTTTAAAGCAGAATTTATACATCTGTCTGTTTTGTGTGTACTGTAGTGGGAAATTATTTGTCAGGATACTAGAGATTTTTCATCTAACAGATCATGATATATACCCTGAACTGCCATTAATGGCCGAAGATGTCATGCCTAAATACCTTAAGATTTCCTCATTATGCGAATATTTACAGTACCTATTCCAGTGGATGGGGTATGCTGGGATTGTACAATACATGCATTTGGATGCTTCCTGGACAATGGAGTTGTAACTAGCAACACATGTATTTATGAGTCAGCGTAGAGATAAGTAAGTGAAGCAAAGGCTTAGCATAGAAACTGGCTTCAGTCACCCTCCTTAATGTCAGGTCAAGTAAGCAGTAACTGCTGAAGTGTATCCATTTGATGCTGATTGTAATGTCTGGATTACGCCAAGAAATGAGCTTGCTTCAGAATTAGTAAATTGGTGCTTTGTGCAACAGAAGGGGTGGCACAATTCTGTGGTCCAGTCTTCCTCTGGTTATATGTCCACTCCCCATTCCCAAATGAAGTCTTTATCTTAGATAAGTAAAGGTTTTCCTTGCTTGAAAGCCAGTCGAATCCAACTCTAGGGGGTGGTGCTCATCTCTGTTTCCAAGCCAAAGTGCCAGTGCTGTCCGAAGACGTTTCCGTGGTCATGTGGCCAACATGACTAAACGCCAAGGTGCACGGAACGCTGTTACCTTCCCACCGAAGCGGTACTTATTTATCTACTTGCAATTTCTTGCTTTCAAACTGTTAGGTTGGCAGGAACTGGGGCCAGAGACAGGAGCTCACTCCGTCACATAGCCCTAGGGTCTCGAACTGCCAAACTTCCGGTCTGCAGTTCAGCATCTTAACCTCTGAGCCACCACGGCCCCACAAGTATCTTAGATATTTCTGTCTAATTTTTGAAAGAATTATCTTACACCTCTGTGTCTGGAAATGTACTAGCATATGTTGTATGTTTTTTTCCAAGAGCTTGTGAAAAATGCCAGATTGTGAAGACTGGAGACTGTCCCTCCTTCAAAGAACACAGAGAACACAAGCAGCAGCATCCCACAAATACTCCCTTTATTTATAGACACCTATGTAAACCTTAGCACTGTATTTTAGTTCACGCTGACACTTTTTTGAATGTCTCTTTTTCTGCAGACCTGAAAACATTAGTAAAATTGATATGTATTGCTAACAGCTTGAACAGCTGATAAGTGCATCATAAAGCTACCTCTCTGAAGTCCCCCCAAAAATTAATTCATGGCTAGAGTTGCAACCCAGTATTTATATTCTGGTAGGAGCTGCGGTGGCTCAAGTGGTTAAGACTCTGAACTTCAGGCTGTGGAAGGTCAGTAATTCAGCAGTTCGAGACCTGAGTGCCGCATGACGGAGTGAGCTCCTATCTCTAATTCCAGCTCCTGCCAACCTAGCAGTTCGAAAGCAAGAAATTGCAAGGCGTTCCGTGCACCTTGGTGTTTAGTCATGCCGGCCACATGACCACGGAAACGTCTTCGGACAGCGCTGGCTCTTCGGCTTTGAAACGGAGATGGGCACCACAACTCTAGAGTCGAATTTGACTGGTTTTCGAGCAAGGGAACCTTTACTTTACCTTTAGGCTTGTAGCAGAGGCAGGAGTTGTGAAGCTACCTACAAAATGACACCCCTGAATCATTGTCCCCTCTCCCTCAGTGATTTCCATGCTACCAGCCTTCCATCTAAGCAGCCACTATCAAAATTGTAAAGTGAGGGTGGGGAATCTTGCAGCACAGTAATATTGGTCTCACGTTTTGCTCATAAGATGTAACTGGGGGGGGGGGGGACTAGGCTAACCAATGTGCCTTTCATCACATCTTGTTCCAGCCTCAGACTTCTTTGTTTAATTTGTCTACAGAAATCTTTTCTGCCTTCAGCAAAAAATCCTGGTTGCATCAGCTCTTGTGATATTACAGTTGGGGCTGTCATGTGGCCTTCTGTGCAGTTAAAATATCCTGCAGAACCCTTACTATGTGACACTTTAACAGGACTATCTGTTCTACATCCTTGTGTTTATGAGTGGTTGAGGCAAACATTTTATCTTCTTTATTTTACTTTTAAGTTAGCGTGCAGGGTTGATCATGGAGCAGCTTTCATTATTTGTGGCAGCAGTGTACGGTCAAAGAGGCAGGAGGTCAGTCTATGTAGGAATCTAGTCCTTGGATGCATTCAGACACTTTCCCCTCCAAAAAAACAATTTCTTAGGATATAATAAACGTTCAAACATACAACAAAATTTATGTTATACATCCTTTTTCCTCTTACCCCTACCCTTTCATGGCTTCCCACAGTGCTCCAACCTCCTGCCCATCTCTTAGATCTTTTACATATCTTCCTTCTTTTATAAATATTCAAACTCTACAGGTAACACATTTTTCAATTGTTGTTCTTATGCATTCAGACACTTTTGAGCGTTTCTAATGGGCAGCAACCAAAAGGTGGTTGATTAGAATTGTATGTCATCAGGCTTCAAGAAGAACCATGATCTTCTGAAATCGCTGATTCTCATGGGACCAAATTAAGTTATGAAGTACTTTTTCATTATGATTGGAGGCAGTGGTCAAGTTAAATAGTCCCGTTAACATCAAGATCTAGGCAAAAAAAGTCTGGAATAGAACTATGTTTTGATGATAATAGTTTATTGCAGAGGAGGAATGGAAAACTGCCTTTTTTGTTGCCCCTGAACACTATTCAGAATTGATGTCTGTAGGTACTGAAGGTTCTGGGTTTTTGGGGTTTTTTGGCCAGTGTTCTGCTGGATTGTTCTAACCTAGCATCTGTGAAACGTATGAGAAAAGGAGGCCTGTTCAGCTGCCTGGCAAATGAACAGCTAAACTTTAGATGAGTGTACAGATGTACTTATAGGGAAATGTGGGGAAGGGTGGAATTTTTTTTTAATCTGAAACATCTGCAGTAAGGGACATCATAAATTCCAATGGCTTCTTTTACAGACTTTTATGCAAGCTGCAGTCTTACTGTCATGTATGCGTGTTGCATGGAGAAATGGACCTGTGAAACAGACCTCTATAGGGACAGTGGTCAGGGATTTCCACAAATATTGTAGCAATTTTTCCAGTTCATGTGGACATAGAAATTGCTTTGTGTGTGTCCTTGTAGAGCCTAGTTAGCGTTTTCACTTATCTGTGTCATTATAGTTTTGAGTGGTTGAGAACAGGCTGCAGTTTCTTGCTAGTTGGAGACAACGGACTGGTGGAAATGATATAAAACTCAGAACTGATGAATCTTTTAAGTCTCTTCACTCCATAGGTCTGCTGCTTAAGCTATTTCATAGTGTCATTCTTCCACCTTTAGAAAGTAACTGTAACTGGGCATCACTTCACTCACTTTGCTGCAGGACAGCTTAACTGAAAATTACTTGTTCCACATAAATACTAGTAGACAGTGGAATTTGCACAGTGACAAACACTGCTAAAAATCTTGATCATATTGTACATTATTTTCTGCGGATGTACTACAAGGTCCCTTTATACTTGCTCAAAATTCTGTTTTCCTAATATTGTGCTATAAAGCCGTGGTATCAGTTATGGCAGAGCTTGAGAAATCCCAGGTTCACCATGGTGCTTAGAAATTTCATTTATGGCAGCTAGTATTTTCAGCAATGATTTTATGGTAGTATTTCTTGGCAGCTCATAATAGTAATACAAAGATTATTAATCATTTCATATCAGACTATGATATAAAATGTATGTGTACATTCCTTCTTTATATGGAACTTTTGTGACTCCCCTCCCCCCACCCCTCCTGCAGTAGCTTTGAAATGTCTCTCTTCCCAAAGTCCTGTTCTTGGAAGTCCCATAGGAGGGGGGGAGCTGTGAAAGTCTCACTCCATGGGCAAATATCCTTGCAACCACGGAAATGCTGTGCTGGATCCAGCCAAGTATATGGTAAATGGGAAACCAAAACAAATTTTATACGAGCTAATCACTTTCATTGTAGAAGGACATTTTTGTTCAACTTTCTACATTTGGCTATAATATGCAGTAATATACAGCTGCTTTTAAATACATATATTGCTGGCATCAAATAGAATTGTGGTTTCTACAATGTTTATCATAAATAGTTGAATAAATGTAATGCTAAGAGTGAGGATGTTCAGCAAGATTGTTCTTGCAAAGCTCCCATCAGGTAACTTACTACAGTTTTTATAGGTAGGCACAAGAGATGCTGAGAGAATTTTTTTATACTGTGTATAGCCAAGGTAGGTTTTGAATGCAAGATTCTAAGGAGTGACTCAAATGTTTTGTTTTTGAAAAGTGAGGAAAAAACCAAGAAATTACAGAATCATAATTTTGTATAAAGAATCAATGGCTTTAACATGTGTATTCAACTGATTTTAGTTTTCGTATATGCAGCTGACAGTTGCAAAATAGCAGATTTCAGTTATATTGAATAATAAATGGTAAATGGCTATATCCAGACATTTGGGACCTTGAAGAATATCTTGGAAATCAGGCTTTGTGATAAAATCTGCATCACCTAGCTATAAGTTTTCATGTTGAAGGAATATATTTACTTGTATTGCTTGAGGTCATACATTGTAATAGTCCAAGGAATGAATGTACTTTCCAGAAGATTTCCTTAAGGTGGGCTGGGAATGGTCTTTTGCATTTTTTGAGTGTGCGTGAGAGATCGAGGAAACAGAAAAGGGAATAGCTTTCTGACGGAGCTACATACAAAAAAGCAGAGAGTGCTGTAGTATTGGTGTGGAATTTTTCTCACACGTTTGTAAAAGATTTATCCATTCCTTGCAACTGTAATTGTTGATGATTTATTGATGGCCTTCAGGGAGTTTCCCCATTGACACAGCTGGCGCTCCTGGTGAAGCCTTGGTTCATCTCTGGAACTGGGAGCTGGCATGTGCAGTTGACGTTATTCTTAAGTTGACCTCCTCCTTCTTATTGCCTGGCTCCATGATTTGCTACAGAGCTTTGGGTAGCAAAGCAAATAGCAGGTGTCCAGAGCACAAGTACAGGAACTACGTGGAATTGACATAGCCACTGGGCATGAAATATATTCCTGTTTCTAAGGGAAAGGCTCAGAAATTAGTTTGTTGCTCACGTGAAGATTTGAGCAATAAACTCTTAGTACTTCCACTCAACTGCTGACTGCTGTTTTTCCACAGTTCATGCTTATTATGATTGTTGGGCTGTAAGATGTTAAATGCGCAGGCAGGACATTTAATCTAAATCCCTGGGTCTTTTAAAAATACAAATAGCAAATAAGCCATTGGAAGAGGCCTTCAGTAGACTATTGATCTCTGTATGCAGCTTATTTGTAATGGTTTCACCACTCACAGATTTGGGAAAGAAAGCCAAAAATTTGTAAAACAAACACATAGCTTAATGAACGAGAAATACTGGTGTTACTTGGGGATGTTTACTTTCTGCATGTCAGTATGCGAGTGTAGTAGGCTGGGTTTTTTCGTGTTGTCTACCCTTGTGCAGTTGTCCCTGGGCAGACTTCTGAATAAAAGTTTAAGCATACATTGATGTTGGGTTGGCACTCTAGTCAGCTGATCTGCCACCTGACCCAGGCACTTTGATTGCTTGTTGAACAAGGTTAGATGTTGTCAAATTCTCCTTGAAACTGAGTCTATCAATGTCTAGGTGGCACCTTACCTTTACAAAGAAATCATCGTGGTGTCTCTTGTTATGAAGACCGACAGTGAGGGCCACTTTCCTTGTCGCCCAGCATCAGTAAGTATGACTGCGGGCATCTCCAGACAGGGACACAAGTTGTCATTAGTGGCAACGATCACTGTCTGGCATCACAGATGACTCTGTCTTTCTTGCTATGGGAACTGCTGGTGTTCTAGGATGAAAGCCAAAGAAGCTGTTTTCCTTTTTATAGAACTTTTGCTGAGTGTTGCTAAATGTTATGATCCGTTACAGTTGTCTGCATATTTCATGGCATTTTTTCACAGTAACCAATAACTGATTTGTTTTTGTAATAAGGGCAAGTATCAGACCCGTTGAATCATCATGTGTGTCTTTTGTTCTAATAACGCTAATGCTTTAAAACATTTGATCATTATTTGATAGTATTTAACTTGCCTATTTTTGAATAATCACATGTATAGTCTCATGTTGCTGACGATTCTCCCGCCTCCCCCCAAAAAACTTGACAGTACCCAAATTGCTGTTGCTACTACATGCATGTTCTCTGATTATGCTTTTCTTTTTTAAACAGGTCACAAGCAAAAAATCAAACAGCATTCCACCTGCCACACAACTCTCTAAAATCAAAGTACCTCCTCCACAGGCTGCAGTGAAGAAAGAAAAACGGCAGAGTTCTTCTAGATTTAGTATTAGCAGTAACAGAGAACTCCAAAAGCTGCCAGCTTTAAAAGGTAATTCATTTAATGTTCTTTGTCATGGAAGCTTGTATGATCGGAGGGCATATGTTCCCAGGTGTGGGCCCGGTTGGTGCCTATATGGGAGACTTTCTGGGAACCCTGCGTGTATCAATCACCTGCAATAGCAAAAGGGCAGGATATGAGAAGATTGAATAAGAACAAGATATTCGCATCCTTGGGTAGAGTTCTGTAAGACTCATGTAGGAGGAGAAGGTCAGAAGCTCTTCTCTCTTGCCTAAGAGGGAGTACATTGCATTGCAGGGCAATTCTTAAAATTTCTTGAAAGTGGTCATTCAAGCAGTGCTCAGAGCTGCTTGGTGGGAGTGGCAAAGAAGCTAGAGACCCACTGTAAATACAGCTTACCTTGTGGTGCTTGGCCGTGAGCACCTGATTACATTGGTGCATTTAGTAACATTGTTCTATCAAGCTGGGGCAGATATTAACTGAGATTGGGGGGGGGGGGGGGGGGGTGTTTCCTGTTTACCAGGCATCGTGCATGTGCTGAATCAAGGCTGTATGAGTTTTCTTCAGTAGTGAGGCTAAAGGCCATTTTGGAAGGAAACTGAGGTGGTACAACAAAGCCAGCTGCTACCCAGGAAACTGAGTACATGATCAGGTCTTGCTTTCAGCTATAAAAGACAACGATATAGCCACAAGGCAGTTTATATCCTCCCATGCAAATGCTGCAGCTGTGTTTGTGGCATGTATTCACTTGATTGCAGCCTAGGTGTTGCTTATCTCAGGGAATTTGGAATTTAAAGCAGGTCTTATGTTTGCCACAGATGTCTTTCTTTTCACGAAACCTGCACAAGTTAATGTTAAAATGTAATGTTTAGGATATGCAAAGTTGTTATTAAATGTGTCAGACCACTAGTTTTAAGTTAAAATCAATATATTAATGCTTATGAATAGCTTTAAGGGTACAGGATTGGCTCTAAAGGAAGGTATTCTAACCCATTTATCACTTTAGTATCCCTTTTCTGCACTTTTCCCAGGGCTACAATACCCTTGTTGATATATGATAACCAGAACTATATTCCAAGCTGTCATAGATCTGAACAAAGGCATTACAATACAAACCATTTGTTGTCAGTCCTTTTCCTGATAATCCCTAACAGAGACAACCTTTTTCACTGGTACGGCACATAGAGTTGACATTTTCATCGAGCTGTCTACCACCACACCAGGAGCACTTTCCTAGTCAGTTGCTACCAATTCAGACTCCAGTTCCATGTATATTTAATTATAGGAATTATTTTACCCTAATGTGTACATCACTTTATACTTGCATTAAATTTTGTTGCCCACTTGTTGCTCATTTGCAATCTACTTTTGTTCTCCCTATCCTGAATAAAGTGGTGTTGGTTACTTTGCTCCTTACTCCTAATTCCCAATATGTTATGAACAAATTAAATACCACCTGTTTCTGTAGAATTCCCTCTACTTACTTCCCGTCACTGTAATAATTGTGCATTTAATCCTAGTATCTGCTTCCAGTTATTTAATCCGTTTCTAATCCATGAGAGGCCTTCTGTGAAAGACTCTGCTACAGCTTTTTAAAGTTTCTTTACATACTGTCTACTGGATCATCCTTGTCCACACATTTGTTAAGACCCTCTTGACTTCCAGAAGTTGGTGAGATAGGACTTCCCTTTACAGAAGCCAGATTGATTCTTCTTCCTTAAGGCCTTTCCCTCCATATAGATAATGATTCTATGTTGAATAAAATTTTCAGTTGGTCTGCAAGGAACAAATGATGTGACATGGACTATAATTTCCTGGGTATCTTTTGGATCCCTTTTTAAAAATTAGCATCGCAACTGGATTGGAGGGTGATTTTAGTGACAGTTTGTATATTTTCATTAGACATGAGCAAATTATCATTTGAGGTCCTTAAAAACCCTTGGATGAATGTCCACCCAGGTTAATTTTTAATTTATCCTTTAAGCCTAGAATTTCATCTCCTGCTAGGTGTAGCTGTCTCAGTTCTTCTGAGATCTGCCTGAAAACTGCAGCTTTGCCATAGTAAACCACTGAACATTTTCCAAGTCTCCCTGTTTTCCTTTAGCAATCCTTTCACATTTTTGTCATCCAAGGGGGTCTAGGGGCTTTCTGGCCAGCTTTCTGCTTCTGACATATCTTTAAAAATTCTTTCTTGTCTTAATATTCGTAGCTGTATGCTCCTCATATTCTTATTTCCCCACCTTGTCAATTTACATTTATTTTAGGAGAGCTTGTGCTATTCCCTGTTCACCTTAGGTGGACAAGACTTCCAACTTGTAAAGGGAACATTGCTGCCTTTGGTGACTCCATTAGCTTTGTTTGTTAATAACACATGCATCCTCTTAAACATGGTGGTGCCTTTCCTAATCTGCAGTATTCTACTAGCTTCTGTTACTTTGGATTTAAATAAATTATAGGCATCCTGAAGAGATTTTATCCTCTTTTCCATACTTTTGACTAATCCCCTCATTTTTGACAAATTTCTTCTTCTCAAATCAAATGTCACGTTGGACCTTTTTCATAACCTTCCATTTGCCTATAAATACTAAATTAAATAGCCCTGTGGTCACTGTTCCCAATTGGTGCAGCTTCACTTAATGTCAAGCCTGAACTCTTCCTAGACACTCAAATTATTAAATTGAGGCTGTCGCACCTCGAAGAGGAGGAGATGATATGGGATTTATACCCCGCCCTTCACTCGGAGTCTCAGAGCGCCTTACAATCTCCTTTCCCTTTCCCTCCCCTCTCCTCCCCACAACAGACCCCCTGTGAGGTAGGTGGGGCTGAGAGAGCTCTTTCCAGAACTGCTCTTTCAAGAACTGCTCTGACAGAGCTATGACTTGCCCAAGGTCATCCAGCAGCTGCATGTGGAGGAGTGGAGAATCAAACCCAGTTCTCCATTAGAGTCCACACACTTAACCACTACACCAAACTGGCTCTCTTGGTCACATTATGAGAAGATAAGAGTCTCTGGAAAAGATGATAGTGTTATGAAAAGTTGAAGGCAGTGGGAAAAGAGGAAGACCCACCCAACATGAAATGGATTGACTCAGTCAAGGCAGCCACGGCCCTCAGTTTGCAACCTGAGCAAGGGTGTTAACTATAGACTGTTTTGGAGATCAGGGCCCTGCAGGATTTGCTTCAATTCTGCAGGGCCTGTAAAATGTGGATGTTCTGCTAGGACTTTGGCCGAGGCGACAGGTGTCCAGTTACATTGGCCTCCCCTGCTTCACCCTGCTCTGGCCTGGTATGATATCTGATCAGATTGGTGGTAATTGACCACTGCCCAGCTGGTTAATCATGGGTACACCTTTGTGGAGATGTTACTGGAGCACTATGCACTTATGCCTACTTGCCATCTCGTATGCCAATTTATTTATTATTGTTTGTATAGTCATTCGACAGAGTGTTATAACTGTTTTTGTTTTATCACTTGTAAGCCGCCCTGAGCCCTGTGTACAGCGGAGGGCGCAATAACTGTCTTCTCTTGGTTGCCTGCCTTGATATAAAAATCAGTCGCCCATGGAGTTTTATGCACATAACAGTATGTCCCCAATATTATCCTTCAGGTCTGGCACTCATTAGTACCTTTTGTTGGGGGAATCTGTTCTTCATACATTTTCTAGTTTATTGGACTTCAAGCTCTCTCTGCCAGACAGATGTGTCCTCTGTTTTTCCCATATAGCTTGTATCCAGGGATAACCTGTCTCGCTAATTTTGCCCACCCCACCAGGTTTCTAAAACATCTACTGTATCCTAAAAGCCCATATTCTTTCTTGGAATTACATAAAATTTTAATTAGTATCAGATAATTTTTAAAATGGTATATGTGTATTTTTGAACATTAAATTGTGTGCCGTTGTTCCTTGTTGGCGAAGTTACTGTCAGACCAAATTTGTACATGCCACAACATTTTTCAGTCCCTCTCCAATTGTTGGTGTGTTGGCATCCAAACCTTCCTATACTTTTAGAATGCACATTGATCTCAGTCTTATGGGACAGAGAAAGAGTGATGGAAGGTGAGCTCTGATGGAACTCAGTTTTACAAATGTCGTTTAATTTTCAGATGTGGCAAAGAATTTTAATAGTGAGTGCTTGGGTTTGTTGTTAGTTGATTGCTTCATACTGAATTTACAAGATTAAACCTAAATGGTCTATAGTTTGTATCATCTTCTCTTTACCTCTGCTTTAACTTTATATGGTTGTACAGTAGGCTTCCATCTAAAACCTACACTGTGTACTGGAATTTGCCTCCTCTCTGTGCTGTTCTAAACCAATACTTGCTATTTATGTGATTTCATGTTATAGGGCTTTTGCAGATCCTAAACTTAAGAACTGTCCTCTTTAATGAGACAGAAATGTTTCCTTACAACATGAGTGGGAGACCTGATCTGCAATAAACTGAGCTAAGAACTCATGAAGAATTGTTGGAGTATGTGTGTAGGAGAGAAGCAATTAGGAAATCTTCTCCATTCGACCCAAATCCCCTTCTGCAAGGTATTGTAACCTCATAAGGAGATGGGTCTGTGCAGATGTCTATCTTCTTTTTCTTAGCTGCTCTTGATTCCAAGGATAGGTAGCATGCTCAGTCTTTGTCAAGCCATGTTTGGAAGACTGCTTCTTAAAAATTTATGAACTAATTTTTGGCTGCGTACCTAGAGAATTTGCCAAATTTGTAGAAAGTCCAGCATTATCTCTGAGCAGGCTGCTGTTGCTGTCTTTGTGGTTGATACTCAGCTGTGAAGTGCCGGGTACAGTTGGGAATCTTCATCCTACCTCCAACTCTCTATGATTCTGTAGGCTCTCTGGGCATCAGTAAGCTGGTTCTTCTCCTCCTTTCCCCCCTTTTAACTGATGCTTGGTCACTATGGAGCATATTTATTCCTAGTCAGAATGGTTTTTAAGGAACCTTTTTTTTTTTGGTTAATGTACAGTGTCATATTTTTCTGCATACTTGGGAAATCCCTTGCATCTATAGAGATTCCTGTCATGTCCTTGGGTGATCCCATTGTGCAGCTTTGTCTCACTAAAGGCCAAGACAGTTTACACTTAGATGAAGTGAAGATTATTCCCAGACTCCTTACACTATTTTACAAAGTCATTTGTAATTAATGGCGTTTAACCATTTAAGATCAGGTATCCCAGATGACTTTTGTAACATGCAGACTATGAAATGAGAAATTTGGGCTTTTCTAAGTTGGTTGATCAAACCAACTGGTGATGATTACTACTATCAGGATTCCTGTGTGTATGCCCTCTAGTGGGAATTAGGTATATAGTATCAGGTTGTTTGTGTGTTCTTTAAACTTAACAGTCTAATTTTTTTCTGCATGCTGGGGATGTTTCGTGAAGATGCAGAAGCCGTGAACTTGTCTGCCCCTTAAACTGCCTTATTGACACTGTTAAGTTTGCTACTGGAAGGGTTATGCAGGGTTTGTTGATAGAACTTCATGTTGGACATTGACTTTTGTAGTTGATACTAGAATACCTTTGGAGAGGATGAGGAAAATTGTAAAAGGACTAAGAAATAAGTGTGACATGATCAAAACTTAAGTTCAGATTTCTTCTCATTTACAAAGTACTTTCAGTCTGTATTTTTTCTTCTTTCAAAAAAGCATTGGCGACTGATACAGAAACTATAACTTGAAAAGTCAGTGGCACTCCTCAGCTCTCTCAGAGCCAATTCTAACCGGCTTTCTTCTGGGCCACAAACATTGGGGTAGCTATTGAAACTGGTCATCATATCTCTTTTGCCTTTAAGAGAATCACAATGCAAAGTACATACCTATATGTGAACCTTTGTAGATGATATAATAAAACAGTTGTTGTAAGCAAAGATAATTAAAGAAGATATGCCTTTCCCAGGTTCCTGCCTTGGTTAGTCATCCTTATAAGCACAGTGTCAATACTGGTTTTTGGATTAAAATGTCAGAGCTACCACTACTTAACATAATTTTTTTCCAACCAATATAAAGGTAATGTGAATAACACATTCTAAGTTGCTTTCCAAATCTGATTTTTAAAGAAATCCTTTTAAAGTACAGTTCACGATTCATAGAATTTTGTCTTGCCCTCTTGAATTCAGGCTTTGGAAAACGGATACACCTTTCATAGAGGTCTATATCAAGGTAGGCATCCATTCACAAGTTGCTAGTTGTGCCCATGGGCTTCTGTTGATTTGATCTTTTTATTTTAGCCTTTGCAAGTATAGACTAACTATGGAGTGCTGAGTGACGTTCTTTGGTGTGTTTGGACTAGAATAGCTGCATGTGACATGCAAATGACTGAACAAGTCTGCTTAGCACCTTTTTGTTGGAGAGCCTGTAGAGCATGCTGTGATCCGCTATCTTATGAGTTTTTGTGAAATAATCTTGGAAGAAAAGTGATGACAAGATTGATTTGTACTTCTGGAGCAATATATACTGATAAAAGTATTGGAAAGCATAAAGCTGAAATCCCTCACTTCTAATAACAGTCAGTTGTTACTATCTGGTGATGTATTTAAATTGGAACCACGTTCCATGGAACTTAAGACATTGGAAAAAATCTTAAAGATGTTTGGAGGGACAATAATTAATGTTAACAATTGTAGCTTTTATACTTACTAGCTAGCTGTTAACTGCATTAATTTAATGGTTCTGCGGTTATTCTGGCAGTTCTTCCTTTCTTTAAAACAAACAAACTGGCAATGTGCATGAATATCAAAGATAGTTACCCACTGTAGAACTCTGGAAGGGTAGCTCCCTGTAATCTTCATCGTTGCCTTTATTTTGTTTTTTTGGTCAAATGAAGACACAGAGCAAACTATGAGTGACTTATGGCTCATTTCAGACATCTTGCAAAACCATGATTTGTTGAAACTAACTGTAGTTAGTGTGGTTGTAGTTTGACAGACCCCTAGCTAACTACACAAGGGAGTGCCCTGCCTTCAGACAATCTGAAAGTTCTTTTTAACTAAAGTTGGTATAGTTTTAACTGTGGTTAATAAACCAGTTTCAGGATTTGATTGGATTGAACCCTAAACAACCATGGAATGGAATGTCCCTCGTTCATACAATTGTACTAACTACAGTTAGTTTCAACAAATCGTAGTTTCACATAATTTACTCTATGTAGGGCTGCCCTTGAAGGCACTTCAGAGTCTTCAGGTTGACCAGAATGCAGCTGGAACATCTTGGTCTTCCTGTCTTGAAGCAGCTGCCTGACTGGAACATCTTGGTCTTCACATATACAACCTGTCTTGAAGCAGCTACATTGGTTTCTGGGTCAAATTCAAGATGCTGGTTTTGATCTTTAAAGCCCTAAACACTGTAATACCTGAGGAACCACCTCTCCCTTTACAATCCCCTCTGGTGGCTGTGGTTGTGATCTCATGGCCTACTGGTGGTGCCAGGTCACACATTTGGTGCCCCTCTGGTGGCTGTGGTTGTGATCTCACGACCTACTGGTGGTGCCAGGTCCTCAAGTCACACATTTGGCGTCCACCAGGGTGAGGACTTCCTCAGTTGTAGCCCCATCCTGGTGGCATGCCCACTCAGATGAGACCCAGGCCCTGCAAGACCTCCCTAGTTTCTGCAGGGCCTGTAAGGTTGGGCTTTTCTGTCAGGCCTTTCCTAGTTAAGTGCATTTTTAGGACTTAATGTTGGATCCAGCACTATCAGTTATAAATTGTTGCTTTTTATACTTTGTATTTTTATACTGTTTTAACTATATTTTATTACCTCTGCTTTTATCCTTCTGCGAACCACTTTGTGTGGGGGGGTATATAAATTGAAATAATAAATAATGTCTGAACTGAGCAACTGACTTTGTTTTCAACAAGCTTATTAACAGTTCTGGTTTTATGGAAAGGACTTTAGCAAAGAAAAGGCAAAAAATGTAAATGTACTTATACAGTATTCTGAGCTGCTATTTGAGATGAAAAGAGCAGTAGCAGCAATTAGTATGTGTGTGCCCTGATTGATATGGCTGCATGCCGTTGACTTAGAGTGTTCTTGTTTAGGCCTTTTTGCACAGACCGGAGTAGACCTATCCAGTTCTGCAAGCAGCACAGAATCCTATGAAGATCCTCCAGAAGTCAGTGTACATGAGCTCCCCATATTCTGTTCAGATAGGATTTTGCCTTCCTGTTCCCATTGACAAGTGATTTGTGGCCTTATTTTTCAGGCCCCACTCAATATCTTCCGGGGGCTGGAATAATTGCTTTGCCGCCATTACCACAACAGAGTAAGCGCAGAGTATATTTGTATGCAGGTATAATCAAACACAGGTATAAGGCCTTGGTAAGAAATTCCCTTCCCCTGTGTCTCTTTTAGTTTTATAGTTAGTATACAAAACAGTGTTCCATGCGCCTTGGTGTTTAGTCATGCCGGCCACATGACCACGGAAACGTCTTCGGACAGCGCTGGCTCTTCGGCTTTGAAACAGAGATGAGCACCGCAACCCTAGAGTCGGATTCGACTGGCTTTCGAGCAAGGGAACCTTTACCTTTATACAAAACTAGGGATCTACTTTAGCAGTCATTCATAAATTGCTTTATTAAACAGTTCCACTAAAACAATGGAAACAGTTTCTTGCCAGCCCTGTTTCCTCATAACCCTGGGGAAGTCTTGAAATTGAAGTCACATATTTAAAGCCGTGAATTGTATTCAGCCACCCCCCCCACCTGATTTCATCCAGTTTTCCTCCTTATTACAGTCTCCCTCCAAGATCGATTTTGTACTTACGAGTCCCATGATTCTCTGCATGGCATTTTTTTTTATGGACAAAACAGATTCTTCCTCCCCTTTTCTACTACTGGCTGGATTCAGCCCTGTGCTTGCCTGATGTATTACTCTAACCTTCGTTTCTGTTTGACCTCTTCTGAACTCCATCCTCATTTAGTCTCCATTAACTAGAAGCATTAATGTAATAATTAGTTGTCTTCTTTAATTGACATAATTGAAAATCTTTACCAGCACACTTAATTTCACTTCCCATAAACAGCTCATTATGCAAGAGCTTTCCCATTGATAGGCCAAACATCTTTATATAGTCCTATTATTTTGCTATTTGTCTCACTAGCTTTTCTAATATCATTAACCATACTTCCACATTAGTTGTCTGTGCTATGGCTCAGCATCTTTAAATAACAGAGCGATTTTAATAAAACATTCCCCCATGCTGTCTGCCTCCAAAACAAAGTTTTTCAATAATTTTTTCTTCGTCTTTAAGCTTTTTACAGCAGTTAATCCAAGTTGTTTGTTCTGTACAAAAAATAAAAAAAGACTTGTTGCTCAGGTCATCCAGATTCTTCTATGAGAAAAAGCTGAAAGCTTGGAGAAGTTACACTGGGCACTGAACACCCTCCAGATTCACATTCATAAAAATCTTATTCTGCTGCCTCTTGGTCTTGAGGTCTCAGCAATAATTGCTTGCAGAACTTCAAGCATGACCTCACTTTTTATGGAGGCCCAGGTCACCTCAGTTGCCAGGTCTGCCTTATACCATCTTCGGCAGATTGGACAGCTGACTCCCTACCTCTCTCCCAGGACTTGGCTACAGTGACCCATGCAATGGTCTCTTCCAGACTTGATTACTGTAACTTGCTTTATGCGGGCTTGCCCTTGCAGCTGATCTGGAAACTGCAGCTAGTGCAGCGGTACTTTTGTGGAAACTGCAGCTAGTGCAAAATGCAGCGGTACTTTTGCTGATGGCGCTGCCTATGCGGGCACACATTCAGCCAGCATTACGCCTGTCGCACTTGGCTACCAGTTGAGTACCGGATCCGCTTTAAGGTTCTGGCATTGACCTTTAAAGCCTTGCACAGCCTATGACCAACATACTTGAGGGACTACATCTCCCCATATGGGCCTTGGAGAGCCTTGTGCTCTGCCGACCAAGACCTGTGGATTGTCCCCCAGTCCAAGGGACATCCGCTTAGCCTTGTCCAGGGCTTTTTCTGCCCTGCCCCCCAGCCTGGTAGAACATGGTCCCACGTGAGATCAGGGCACTGCGGGGCCTATTGCCGCTCCACCTGGTCTATAAAATGGAGCTGTTCCGCCAGGCCTTTGGCTGAGGTGGCAGGCGTCCAGTGAAAAGCTGACCTATTTGATTTGGCCCAGAGCAAGTAGATCTTAGAGACCTAACAGTACCAGCTCTGGAGACTGTGTGTGTAGACAAATAGTGCAATCTGTTTTTAAATTGTTGTTTATAAACTGTTGTTCATAACTGTTTCTGAACTGTCTTTTAATGAATTTATATTATGATGCCAAATGGCTTTGTGATCTGCTCTGAGCCCACTTGTGGGGAGGGCAGAATATAAGTTCAATAAATAAATAAACCATAATGGCTGAACTGCTAAAACCTTTAGGAGAACTTTGGATAGAGAGCCATCCTGGTTGTACGTATTTTGGCAGAATACATTGACAAGTGGCTCCACAACTTAATGCTTTTTAGGGCATTGGCATTTGTACCTTAGTGAGATGAGCACTGCCACCTAGAGTCAGATTCAACTAGCTTTCGAGCAAGGGAAACTTTTACCTCTACCTTTTACACAGAGTCCCCAGCCACCTACAATTAATAGGATTTTTCCTGTAAAAAGAAAAGTAACTGAGCTATGAAGCAGATCCTCAAAACTACTGATTTTTGACTTGGGATCGGTTTTAACCCCAGCCAATGGGGTAAAACAAAAAAAGTCTTCATAGTTTTTGCAATAAAACATTGATCTAGATAAGCATTGAACTGGGTTTCATTGGAGAACATTTAACTAACTAAAGACAGATACGTGATTTGGATAGAAAAGTAATCTTTCAAATCCCAAAGTATTTTAGTGGTTAAGGATAAGATGTTTGAAAAAGTCCCTAGGTGTTTGAAATGCACTTTCTTCTGACATCGCAAACAAAACTGTTTTTGGGTGGCGTTTTACTACTTCCAAGATGCACTGGGATCTGTCTTGGGGTAGTGAATGTACCCCAAATACAACTGTACAGGCACTTCTGTATGACATGTGAATTAAAAGTATTAAATGCACAAGTCACTTTATTGATCCTGGCAGGCTCACGGCATGAGTTTGAGAATTATGTTTTGATACTCATAGGACAGAAACACACAAATATTCTTGATAACATTAATTTTAAAGAAATAAAAT